AGACACAAACTGGGCAACCTGGACACCCTCAGGGGGGCCGGCCTCCTCACAGGAATCCTGAGCAGGGGTGGCAGTGGGCAGCAGGGGGTACGGCCCTGAGGCTCTGGGTCAGGCTCTGGCACTAGATGATGCCATACTGGGCCAGTTCGTGCAGCTCCAGGTGGTTGAAGGCCTCCCACGGGCAGATCACCGTGATGTCTGCAGGAGAGGGAACAGTGGCACCAGGAGGCTCATGGTCCCAGGGGTCATCACCACCCCCTCCACGCCCTGTTGTCCACACTCCGAGTGGTGAGAGCAGAAGTCCTGGGTGGGGAGTCCTTCCCAGGGCACGCCAGGTTGAGGGTGTTGAGTGGGAGAGGACAGGTGCAGCCGGGAGGAGCGGGGGGCAGCAGGGCCTCCTTGTCGCTTTCCAGCCCCCGCCCCCAGGTACCCGGTGAACCCACTGAATGGGAGCAGCCCCACCTCCGTGAGGCCTAAACCTTGACGTTGGGGCAGAGAAGGAAGGACAGGCTCGAGGCAGTGCTCTAGATACGCCTCGGCTGGGGAAGCGGAGTAAGGACGGGACGCAGGCGCGCGGACAGGCGGGAGAGTGGGGGGCACCTGGGAGGACCCGGGCAGCCATCATACCTGTTCCCAGGCCTTCCATTCCGGGGATGTCGTCCCCAAACCTGCAGGACACAGTGGTCAGGGCCAGTGGCCGGGAAGAGGGCAGTGGGGGTGCACGGGGGCATACGTGCCCTTGAGCGCCGGCCCCTGGGTCTGCCAGCGCGCCCTGGCTGTGAGTGTGCAGGGACATACGCCGGCGGGCGGGCTGTGGCTGAGTCCCTGAGCGGCAGTGAGCGTGGCCTCCAGATCCATTTGGCAGGAACGGGTAGAGGGTGACGAGCCCCCAAGCCCTCCTGCCCCCCATGCTGAGGAATGGGGGGCCCTTGGGAACGACCCCAGCCAGGGAAGGGTGGCCCAGCCCCCTGCTCTACAGTGTACTCCCCCCCCACACACACACACTTCCTGTGTCGCCTGCAGCTGGCCCTCCACCAGCTCTGCTTACCCTTGGACGCCTTTCTTGGGGGGCTTGCTCTTGAACTGCCTGGTTTGCCGCTGCTTAAATTTGGGGGGCCCTTTTCTGGGAGTGACGGGCCCCCCCGTCACCCTGGTGGCTGACCGGATCTCGGCCTTGGGTGGCTCCAGGTTCATGGCCAGGATGGCAGAGACCCCACAGCGACCTCTGGCTTCTAGACTCCCTCACACCGTGGGCTGGGGGCACACCAGGCTGGGGGGCTCCTGGTCAGCCCCCTTGCTTCCGGCCCCCCTTGCAGGTCTCAACCCAGCAGAAGAGAGGAAGTCCTGAAACAGGAAACCCAGGAGGCCCTGAGCGTGACCCCAATGGCAGCCCCCCGCCATCTCCACATGGGCCTGCACCTGGGGTCAGGCAGGGGGAATGAGAGTACTGGTGGCCCCCCTGGTGCACCCCCCTCGGCTGTCTCCCCTTCTGCGTGCCCCACCCCAATCCCCAGGGTAGGGACACTCAGCCTCATTCCTGGTGGCATGCCAGGCATCTGGCAGTGCCAACGAAGGGTGACAGAGAAGTGGAGGGCGGGGTGCCTTCTCAGGAGAAGTCCCGAACTGAGCTGTGCAACCAGCCCACTGCAGTTTCTTCCCTCTAATGGTAAATCCCCTGGCCACCCACTGTGCTTGGAGACTGCCCTGGGCACATAGTGTCACCTGCTGGTGTCCCTGAACCCACTGCACAGGGTGACCTCCCCTCTGCCTCTCCCTGGATGCCCTAAGCCCCATTGACCCTGCTCAAGGGCAACTCCGCTTCCCCTAAGCCTATTAGCACCAGAGGGGCGACTCTAATCCCTCAGGGCTGCCATGAGCCTAGAAGGTTCTGGGGCTAAGCACAGGACACAGACAGGAGCCCCTGGCACTAGATGCCCCAGGCCCCACCTCATGGGTTCCCTTTGCTGCTCCGGTCTTGTGGGCTACAGTGCCTGACTCCAGCCTTGGGCTACCACCAGCTGCTGGCTAGAGCATCAGGGCTGAGACCGGCTGGTGGGAAAGGCAGGCTGGGTGGTGGGGGTGGGCACCCAGTACCAGGTGCACCCCACCATGGACCTTTCCTCCCTAACATTCATCCTCCATGCCAGAACCCGCACCAGCCAAGGAGGATGTACATGGGGTCCACGGTGACCTGTACTGGTGGTCCCGGCAGCTCAGACCCCATCATGCCCACCCCTCACAGCCTAGATGGTGTAGGCCCAGCCAGACCCTTTCCCCAGTCCCAGGCCATGGGGCCCGGTGCGCACAGCCCTGACCCGGACGGAACTCCCCCTGTCAGATGCCGGCCTCGTGGAAACCATGGTCCAAACTCTCCCAGCCGGCCCAGCCACAGTCCAGTCTCTGGCTGATGACCACTCAAGTTAGCTGAGAGTGTACGGCCCAAGGTCCCCAGACCATCGCTGGCCTTGGGGACTGCCTGCAGCCACCCTTTAATATGGGGGAGCTGAAAGTGACCGGCTGGAGAAATGCTCTGACTAGGACAGTGGACAGACTCCTGCAGATCCAGCCGTCAGGGTGGCGGTGAAAAGCCCAACAACTCCCCACCCTCTGTGCAGATACTCAACTCTCTTGGGTAAACGGCTGTCAAGAAAGGTGCCTGGGGAAGGTCAGTACTCACCAAGCACTGGGCAGGTCTCAGGGGGCCGTGGGTTTGAGTGGCCAGGCCTCCCTCAGCAGGGTGCCGGCTGGGCATTTATCTGGCTCTTGGGTAAGCTGGTTAGGATTGTCCCCTGACACGACACTAATGAGATTGTCAGGGCCACTCAGGAGGGTGGCGGGAGGGCACCACCCCTGAGGGTCAGGGAGATGAGAGAAGGGGCTCAGGGGCAGGCAGGGGCCTGGGGATGGGGTCGGGATGAAGATGGGATGCGCCAACACAAACCGCTGGACGGGCAAGACTCACTCCTGAAGCTGCTCGTCTTGGAAGCCAAGAAGAAACTGCACTGGCTGCCATCCTGGGTCTCCCCGCTTTCAGTTCTCTGACCTCTGATGAAACTGCCTTCACGGCCCCCAAAGTCCTGTGTAGTCTGGTCACTGTCTACCTCTTTGACCTCGCCCTTTATCCCTCCACCTCGCTCTCCACGCTCCCAGCCCTTCCACCCCAGGACCTTTGCACCCACTGCTCTGTCTGTTGGTGTACTGTGCACCTCTCCTCGTTCCCTCAGCTCCTCTTCCTGACACGTCAGAGCTCTGCCCCAGGACCATTTCCTCAGGGCCACCCCTCGGGCTAGACCAGGATGCCTATCTCATAGGACTGCACGGCAGCTGGACCTTGTTCACGCTGATACATCGGATAATGCTCGTGGTAACCCGTCTTCCACGTTAGAGTGAGTGTGGCAGATGTTCCTACCGGACCCCAGTGCCAGACACACCACAGGTGGTCAACTGGCGCCTGAGAGACAAATGAATGAGCAGACAAGACCCGTACCTGTGCGAGTCTCGGCGAGCCTGGTGCTGGGGCTGCACGGGCATCCTTGACTGCCGTGTGCTACGTGGAGTCCGCCTTGTTGCAAGGAGCCAGGCCAGCGGCTGCCCCTGGGCACAGGATTTCGCTGTGACTCTTGCATTCCACAGTAGGGCTAACTTAGTAGGATCCTTCGGATGTATGCATGTACATGTGCCCAGGTCCACACGGGAAACCCCTTATAAATCTGGATTTTGGAGAAAAATACGGAAAACCTCTACGTCTCTGAGATAAGCCACCCCTTCACAGAGCCTCAGAGCCTGCCAAGCTGTGCTGTGCTGCTGTCCCTGGAGAAAATCTTTCTCTTTCTGGGACGTTTTTGAATCTGTATGAGGATACGTTAAATGAGGTGCTCTCTGAGATACAGCCTAATAGATATATGTCACCATAAACTCTGTTTCTGGAGGGCACACAGCTGTCCAGAAAGACAGCCTGAACCATGGGTGTCTAACTGGGCACCGTGTTTTGCTTCCATTCTCTGGCCCACACATCTCTATGGGATACATCAGCTTTCTGTTAAAGGCCCCTACCTGGGAAGGCCTGTTTATCAGCTCAAACCCCTCATGAATTTATGCTGCAATCTTAGTTTTTTCTTTAAATGAGAGATAAAACACACACAAGTTCCTTTAACCCCTGCCCCATCCAGGACACTGGTATCAGCGCTTGAACTGTTGGCGGAGGGAGATAAGATGGGAGAATTTCCCTGATGGGTGTGAGCAGGAGATGGGGGTGGGCAATGAGGGCCCTAAGATAAAGTTCTTCCCGGGCTGAATGGTCCCGCGGCCGGGTCTGCAGCCAAGCACCAGGCTAGTGCCGGGAGGCTGATTCTAGGGCTAATGCTGGAGGCCTCTGGGTCCTTACACCCTGATCAACTGCCTCGATCATCGTGTCTAAGTGGGTTGGAAGGACTGGAGGCTCAGGCCCCTGCGGGCTGATCCACAGCCTTCTACCTGGCTGGTGAATGGGTATCTCCCCAAGGAGCCCTGCAGCTGGAAGAATGGGGCCCTTCCCAGGCTGCCTACAGCTGTTCATGCCTGCCAAGGACTTTGCCAATAGCAACTTCATGGGACCAGACGGTCCTCCCTCTGCCACTGAGAATAACCAGAGCTGACCCTGGGGCAGGACTTCTGGGGTGCTGGGACATGGAAGGGGACTCCTGGGGTCGTCGTCACGTGGATCGTCAAAAAAATGGAACTTACTTCACCCTTACAGGTTGGTGAAAGCTGCAGGCTCTCGATAAAAGTTCAATGGCAAGCTGCACCTGCTTTCTTTGACAACGTAATGTAAGCCCTACAGAGAAGAACACAGAAGCCTCCGTCTAATCACCATAGAGACTTATTTATTCTCAGGTAAAGTCATTAAATAATTCCTTCTATTCCTGACTCCGGCCTCACGAAGGGCCACGGGTAAAGCTCCATGCTGCTTCCTGAGAAGGAGCTGTCAGGCTGGAGCTGGCGTGGGTGTTGGGCAAGTCGGCTCAGCCTCCACTCCTCACTCGGAGCTGGATCTCCATCCTGAGGAAGGCCTTGAGGTTCTCGTCAGCCACGTGCTCCTCGAGGGCAGCCAGGGCCCTCTGACCACCGTCTTGGTAATGCCGCAGCAGTGCATCTGCATACTCCACCCACACACAGTTGGGGCAGCCACTCATGCAGCAGTTTGTGGGGGGCTGGAGCTCAGGCGGCGGGGGATACAGGACTTCTGGGGGGCCCCGGCCAGGCAAGGACGACTTGGGCTGCCCTGTGCCATCTGCACCTGATTGAGAGCCCTCCTCTACATGGTCCTTCCCAAAATCTCTGTGGCCTTCACGGACTTGGACCCAGGCATGCGGCCTGTAAAGAACGCTGCCGCCTCCAGGAAGCCTTTGGCACCTGTCCCAGCTGGAGGGTCCACGTGGCCCCTAAGAAGACAGATGCTGGTAAGGCCTTGCCAGCCCCAGGGAAATTTCAGCCTCCTGTCACTGGCAGGGGGCTCCAGGTGCTTCTCCACTTCCTCATCTCCCAGGAGACCTTAGACAAGTTACTCCGTCTGTACACTCGGTTTCCCCTCTGTAAAGTGGGCGTAAGGGCTGGAGAAATGGGTTCAGGGACAGGCACTGGGTGCACACTCCAGCAGACGGTGGGGTGGGGTGTACTCTGGAACCCCACCTCCTTGGGCAGGAATGGGTGCGGGGTGGAAGCTTGCAGGCTGGGGCCACACAGCTGCTTCTCCCTCTCCAACCAGTGCAGCCGAGCGCCTCCCCTCTGACTATGCTGATCCTCCCTCGGCAGTATCCCTTGCGCGCCGGCTGTGTGCAACCCCCGGGGGAAGCCGCAGTGAACAAGGAGCTCGTGCTCCTCGCAGGAGTTAGCAGAATGAGTAAGTAAGGTCAGGGCGGTGGCAGTCAGTGTGGAAAGCCCCGGGGACCCTAGAGCAGGACACAGGACCCTGGGACCGGGGCCGGAGAAGGGAGGGAAGGCTGCCCGCTGTACCCGGTGGGGGGGTGCTGCTCTCGGGACCTTTGGGGGATGACCTGGGAGGAAAACAGCGATGAAGGGGCTATGCAAGGGATACTGCCGAACCGGCCGGCCCAGCGCAGGGCTGCCCTTCCCGCGGAGCCGGGGCCGAGACAGGAACGACAGCAGGCGGCGCGGGCCGGGCGTCTCCGGTCCCTGCCGGGCCCCCGCCTCCCGAACGCGCCGCGCCGCGCCCCGGCCCCCGCCCCGGCCCCCGCCCCGGCCCGGGTCCTGCTGATACTTGCCGGACCGCAGGCAGCGGCGGCCACCGTCCGGCCTCCCCCAACCACGCTCCGGAGCAGCATCACCCGCGGCCCCGCCGCGCACGCGCGCCGCAGCCCCGGGCCCCGCCCGACGCGGCGTGAGGGGTAGGCGCTCTGGCCACTCCCGGTCCGCCAGGAGCCGCACCGCCCCAATGGGCGCAGACCTAAGCGCAGGAAGCGGAAATGGCGGTCGTGGGGCGGGACTGTGCGGGAAGGCGGAAGTGGTTTAGCCTGGGAGCGCCCGGCGTGCCGATGGCTGGCCCCCGGCCCCGAGGTGCTCTGCCCGTGGGGCCGGCGGGGCCTGGGGGTCCTGGGCGGCCGCAGGGGCGGCAGCAGCAGCTGCGGGGGAAGCAGCCCTCAGCGCCATGGCCCGGACCGCGCAGGTGGGTCTCAGCGCCCCGCAGTCCCTACCCGTGGGTGCGCGGCAGGATCGGCCGGGTGAGCGGAGGCGTGAGGGTCTCCGGAGTGGCAGTAGCCACTTCCAGGGTCGGTCCCTGCCCTCCTGGGGCTCCGGGAGAACCCCTCACCCCAGCGACCTGCGAGAACCCAGGTCAGGGGCAGTGTCCGGTGAGGATGCGCCCTCGCCCGGCGCCCCCGGCAGCCAGGTTCGCTTTCCAGGCTCAGCTTCAGTGTCTCTGATTCTGCTTATGCTGAACTTAGGACGCGTCTCACTCTCCTGTTCTCGTTCTCAGCAAAGAAAAAAAGAAAGTGAATTGCAAGCCTAAGAACCAGGATGAGCAGGAAATCCCCTTCCGGCTCCGAGAGATTATGAGGAGCCGCCAGGAGATGAAAAATCCCATCAGTAACAAAAAGAGGAAGAAACAAGGTAACGTGCAGGCTCATGCTGGGTGGCCATACAGCTTTGTGTGCCCCAGTCCACTTAATTGCCTAAACGTTTAATCGTGCTTCGGGCAGCAGAGATCCACAGACAGCCAGTGGTCTGACGGTGCAGGGGCTTGTGGAGCACTGACCGAAGGCCGGTGTCGCCAGGGCCACAGAGGTGGCTGGCAGCAGGTGGCAGTGTGGTTTCGGATGAGGCTCCAGAAGGAGCCCTTGGGGCCTCCTGTTAGGATTTTTGGTTCCGCTCCCAAACTAGTGGAGATCCATCAGAAGTGATGGTGGGTTCAGACTGACTTTGAGAAAAGATCCCTGTGTAACAATTGAGGGAGTGGACAGGGCAGGCCAGGGAAGCTCTTGCAAGTGAGAAACGGCTGTTTCTTGGACGGGAGTGCAGAAACGATAGGGGGAAAGAGTGGATGTTTTCTGGAGGTTAAGGAGGGAGTTGATGAGAGCCCCCCTGGAACACTTACCTTTCCAACCCCTCACCCAGGGCCAGGTTGGGTAGCCACCTGTCAGCCTCTGCCAGAGATAACACTCGGGGCATTTTGAGGAATGGAGTCCAGCATGTTGGCGTTTTGTGTATTTACATTTGTTTTCTCAAATATGAGATTGTTTTTACATCAATGCTGTTTTATAATTTCTTTCTTTTTTTTTTTAAGATTTTATTTATTCATGAGAGAGAGAGAGAGGCAGAGGGAGAAGCAGGCTCCCGCGGAGCAGGGAGCCCGATGCGGGGCTCGATCTCGGACCCTGGGATCACGACCTGAGCCGAAGGCAGACGCTTAACGACTGAGGCGCCGTGTTTTATAATTTCTTTGTAAACCTCATGCTTTTCGTTGGGGGTTATATGAGCATCAAAGAGACAGTGACAGAAAGAGGCAGGGAAGGTGAAAAGTAGAGGATGCACACTGGCCCCAGCAGAAGAAAGCACAGTTTGAACTGTGCTTTACGGAGCTGGCTCTTGTTTTTGGTGATTTAAGACATAAACTCATACGTGGTAAAGCAGACGGGTGGAAGGTATGATGTATGGCACAGCCTCCCTCCCTGTCTCTGAGTCCTGCTCTTTTGCCCTGAAGAAAGCTCTGTTCATCTTCTGCTGTGCCTGCCCAAGAGAAATATCCTGCACGTTTTCACATACTTAGGATGGGAAACTTACATGTTCGTTCTGTGCATTGTGTAATGTTCTGGGTTTGTGCAGTGAAGTCTTCACATGAAGATAGGGTAGTTATTCATCCAGTCCCCCGTTGATGATTAAATAACATTTAGGTTCTTTCCTGTTTTCTCTCTCAACTAAGCTGTGCTGGACATCTGTGACTTGCAGCGGTGGGCTGTGGGGCTCCCATCCACATGGGTGTCCGAGCTGCCCCCACTTGAGTCTGGTCTTCCTTCCCTGTGGCCCTGGCCAGCCTGGCACCACACTGCCTGACCTCTCTCTTTGGTCTCAGCCCAGGCAGCCTTCAGAAAGACACTGGAGAAGGAAGCAAAAGGAGCCGAGCCAGACATCGCTGTCCCCAAGTTCCAGCAGAGGAAGTGGGAGTCTGACGGGGCCTACATCCAGCGAATGGAGGAGGAGGCCCAGCACGTGCTCTTCCTCAGCAAGAACCAGGTGGCCCGGCAGCCCGAGGTGCAGGAAGCTCCCAAAAAGGAGAAGTCAGAGCAGAAGAAAGCGTGAGTGGGGTGGGGTCGGGGTCCCCTGACCATTCTCTGCATCGATAGTGTTTTCTTTCTGGGGGAGCCCCACCCCACCCTGATTCAGGGGGGAGCAGAGAGAGAGGTGAAAACCTGTTTTTCTGTACATCAGAGCTTTTCAACCCTGGGGGTTCAGGGAGTCTCCGAGCCCACGGAACTCTGAAGGCCCAGATTTGTCTTTGCCTTTCTCTGGAAAAGCATCAAGGGGGCCCAAGAGCCAGATGAGGTCAAGGGCCTGTTGTCCACCCTGGCCAGTTGCAATAGGGAGAGGGGAAAAGATGAGGCTGGTGGTCCCTCAGGAAGGCTTGCTGGCCACTGGGGGATCCCACACAGCTGTGGGGTTCCCCTGCTTCTGACTGGCTGACACCGCCTCCTCGAGGACCTGGACTGGGGTCCTTTCCGTAAAAGAAGTTTGAGGGCCTTCAGCTGTGCCATCCACACAAGTCCTGCGACCCCTTTCAGCTCCAGTGCCTCATCTGTAAAGCAGGGATACTGGCATCCCCAGCGGGGGCTCGGATAAGGTCCTTGCAGGGCTCCTGAGGGCGGCATCTGGCACCAGGAGGGGGCCCACCGCCTGCTCTAGCTCCCCTGCCCCCCAGCCCTGGAGAAGTCGGGGAAGGAAGCCCTGTGCCACCTCCCTGGGCCTGTGGACATGGGCGGGGAGGTGGTTTTGACAAACAAGGGCTGTTTGAGATGTTTCTGCCACAACTGCAGCCTTTGTGATGGGCAGACCCAAGCTTTCATCGGGAGTTTCTGTCACAGCTGTGGGAGTTGGAGATGCTCTGCAGTCCCGTGGCGCTGTCCGCATCTGAGTGCTCTTTATGCTCATGGTCAGGCCAAGTGACGAAAAGTACGTCACAGAAAACCTGAACCACGCACCGTCCGGGGCCACGGCCACCCCCCAAACACAGCGCTGCACGTCTGTGATGGCGAGACCAGGGCCTCCACACCTGGGTTTGGGGAGACCCTTCGGATGCAGCAGCCCAGGCGACGCGTGGGGTCAGAGCTTGTCTGGGGTGGGGGCCGCTCAGGGTGTGGAGTGACAGCCTGGCCTCTACCCGAGGTGCCAGGAGCGCCCCCCCCATTGGGACAACCCAGAACATCTCCAGATGCCATCGGAGGTGCTCTGGGGGCACAGTCGCCCCCCCAAGAATGCGGCCTTGGAACCCCGGCGGCCTGCTCTTGCGAGCACCCGGCTATGGGGGGCAGGCGGTCACCAGAGTGGGGACTTGGCAGCAGCTCACTGGGCTCTGCTGTGGGGCATCCTCCTGCGCATAGGTGACCTCTGCCTTTTGAGTCCCATGAGATGAGACTTGGGGAATCTGAACGGCACTGTGCTTTCTTCCCCAGCTTCCAGAAACGGCGGCTGGATAGACTCCGGCGGCGGAGGGAGGAGAAGGCCGCAGAAAGGCTGGAGCAGGAGCTGCTCCGAGGTAGGTCCTCCTGAAGCGATCGTGTGGGCCCCAGGCACCTGTGCCTTGGCGGCGGGGGCAGCGGTTGGGTGGCCACGTGGCCAGAGGCATTGGTTGTGTTCCTCTGCCCCTCCAGACACAGTGCAGTTCGGCGAGGTTGCCTTGCAGCCCCCAGAGCTGACCGCCCAGCCCAGGACGAGCAGAAGTTGGGGCCAGGTAAGCAGGGGCAGCTGCCCTGGCGGTCCCTCAGGGCCATGTGGTCCGGGGCCTACACGCGGGATGCCACGTTCTCACTGGGCATACAGCTGGTGGACCAACATGGGCCCTTTCTTATCTCCCCTCTTTCCCGAACTGTGCCTCAACCTTCCGTCTCTGTTCTTTAGCCTGGGAAGAAACCGCTGATGCTGAGGATGCTTTTGAGCCCGGGTGGCATGTCCCAGCCTCTGACCACGTCACTGGCCCGACAGCGGATTACTGGGGAGGAGAGAGAGCGGGCTGTGCAGGCCTACAGGGCACTAAAGAAGCGGCAGCGGGGGGCTCAGTCACTGCAGCCGTCCTGTTCCCCCCACCTGGCTTCCGGGAGGAAGGCAGAGACACATCTGTGACGGCAAGACCACGGCCTCCATACCTGGGTTTGGGGAGGACATAGATGGCCTGGAACACATGCTGGGACTCCCAGGCCCCCCATGTACTCGCTCTCCAGTGCAAAAGAGGGCTCTGGGCCTTTGCTCTCTCGTTTTTTCTCCCTAAGATGGCTTTTCTGTGAGTGACCATCTACTGGGCTGTCCCTCACAGGGCATGATCTGTCCCAAGTGCCCAGAGTGGCCAGCACCTGTTTGGGACACAGCCAGTCAGGCACACCTAGCATCATTCATTGCAGCTTTGTTCTGATTACACAGGTCCAGGCTCAGATAAGCCAGGGCCGCTTTAGGGAGGACGATCCCATAATCCTGTCCTTAGACGCCAGTCTGCTGGAGACACTGCAGACTGGGTCAGCTGAATCTGTAACTGAAGCTCCATGTGGTTCAACAGCGCAGCTCGGCTGGAAGCACAGGCTGGGCAGCGGGCCGGAGCAGGGGTGAGGGGGGCAGGGGTCAGGGTCTAGGCCACCAGGACCTGCTTCTGGCACCTTGTCCCTGCAGAGGCAGGTGCAGCCCACCCAGGCTTTCACTGGGGTATGGAGACAGGACACCACCCACACCCAGTGGGTTTGAGAGGTTTGTGTTCTCAAGTGTTTGGGGAAAGAAGAGCAGGTCTGAAGCAGCTTGAGGGCAAGGACAGAACTCTGGCCCGGGACCTTCCCGAGGCTGAAAGGGTTACGTGGGGAATTCCTGCCAACAACAGGGCCTGGCAAGCTTTGAATCTCCCAGAGCCAAAGGAGGGAGCACCCAGATGTTACCAGTGTGATTAGCTGTGGGGTGCGGGGTGCTGAGACTGTAGGGTTCTCGGCAGTGGAACATGAAGGGGAGCATCCTACTGCTCATATCCTTGTGAGGACAGCACTCGGCTCCTTCCTCGGGCTCAGACAGCTCAGGAACTGCCATGTCTCAGCCTTGACCATGGTGGCCCTACAGAAAGTGTGGGGTAGCGTGCTTCTGTGGGATCCTTTTTTGCCTTTCCCTGTTTGCATTTTCTACAATGTTTTGTGTTTGTTTTTTTCCAAATTAAAAACTTGAGGGCACCTGGGTGGCTCAGTTGGTTGAGCGACTGCCTTCGGCTCAGGTCATGATCCTGGAGTCCCGGGATCAAGTCCCACATCGGGCTCCCTGCTCAGCAGGGAGTCTGCTTCTCCCTCTGACCCTGCCCCCTCTCATGTGCTCTCTCAAATAAATAAAATCTTTAAAAAAAAAAAAAGTAGAAAAAAAAAAATTGGGTCGAAGCTGTTTGTGACCAGGGCTAGCGTCTCGGGTGTTTGTGTGTGGTAGGGGCCCTGTGCCCCGCATCAGGTGCTTGGGACGCTGGCCGCCACTGTGGTGGCAGATCACAGGTGCCAGTGGGGTGGGCAGCGTGGCCGCTCCTTCGGTGGTCGGCACCCTTCCCGCAGTAGGATTCCAGGATGTGGGCAGGACGGCAAGACCGGGGTGAACGCAGTCCCTGAGAAAAACCCACGCTCCCGGACCCACGGCCAAGCGTGGCACGAAGGCGGGAAGGTGGAAATGCACTGTGGCTGGAGGGTGTGCCTTTCAAAACCAGGTTCATAGCTCACATGGAGGATGAAATCGCCTCAGGCCTGTCAGAGTGTCCCGAAAACTCACCAACCCGGCCCAGGCTGCCTTAACCATGAGATGTCACCAGGCCCAAATCTGAGAGGAGCCCCGCGCTGGGGGCCACCCCCAGAGACGGAGCCAGGTGCCTGTCTGCTGAGTGCGCACTGTGTTGAAGTCCTCTGAAGCGGGGGGCGGAGGGCAGCCGTCACGCGGGGTGCCAAGTTGTCTGGAGTCCACAAGGACTGCATCCCTGGGGCGGAGGCCGCTTGCATCCGTGGCTGCGTGACCCTCCCAGAGAGGAGCGCTTCCACAGGGTGGGGGGGGTGGGCTGGAGCCCCCGTGGCCTTGCAGGTTCTGCGAGAGCTTTTCTGAGGCATCATTTACAACCCCCACGTGAACACACCCCCTCCGCAACAATGGGGCCAACTGGAAACCCCGCGGCTGAGGCCGGGCTGCTGCGCTGCACGCCGGGAGAGCACAGATGCCTGGTGTTCCTTCGCGGCCTAACTAGCCTCAACTGCCAGCTGAGATGGAGAAAGCCGGTTGCAGAAAACACACAACCACACCCAGGAGTACAGGGCTTCTTAATCGACTGCAGCAAGCTGAACAGTAGCCCCACACAGACCTCTCCCTGTACCCTGGGAACATGCAAGCATGCCCGTTTTTCCAAAAAGGGTCTTTGCAGATGTAATTAGGGATCTCGAGATCATCCTGGATTTAGGGTGGGCCCTGAATCCAGTGACAGGTGTCCCGATAAGGACAGAAAGCCACATGAAGACAGAAACAAGGGTTTAGTTCTGCGAGTCACAAGCCAAGTTATATCGAGAAGCATCAGCAGCCACTAGAAGCCAGAAAAGAAGCGAGGAATGCATCCTCTCTTGGAGCCTCCAGAAGGAACCAACCCTGCTGACACCTTTCTATCAGTTTTTTGACCTCCAGAACTTTGAGCGTAAGTGTGGGGTGTTTTAAGCCAAGTCTGCTGCAATTTGTTATGGAGGCCCTAGGACACAAATACACCCTGCCCTCCCGCAAGCCCCCTCAGCTGAAATCAGGGTGAGCTTGCCAGGACCTCCTGCGCTCTAGCAGAGCCGCGCCCACTCTCGCCTACCCGCGGGACCCCTACGCCCTCCTCGGCGATGAACGTGCACTAAGCAGATGAACTAATGAAAACACCGTTCTCGTTCTGATTCCAGGCTCAGTTCTTTCCATGACAACGGCCTCATACAGTGGGGGTCACATCGTCAGCCTGTCAGAAACTCTACAGAGAGACCGAGTCTGTGGGGCTGTGCAGTCCAAACACCTGTGGGAAGGGAATACATCGCGGGATGGGAGCAGGTCGCCCAGCCACCCTGCAAACCTGTCTTCTCCCAGCCCTGGGGATGATCTTTTCATTCAGAGGCCAGCTGTCAGGAGTTTCTGTAACCGGGGTTCCTCAGTTTACCCGTCACTGCAACTCAAGCCAGAAGCCCATCCCCTAGGCTTGTGCTGGGTCATCCTGTCCCTGATGAGAACAGATCTCTGCAGGCCAAGCAGGGCGGCTCTCTGGCCCCTCCACAGAGCTGGCCCGTCACGGTCTCCTCCTGTGGGTCAGCTGTCAGCTGTCAGTCCCCTGGGTGTCCTGGAGCCAGTGCAGCACCTCCGCCAGGCCGGTGCCCTTGTGAGCGCTGACTGCCACTGTGCTGATGCTCTGCTTGGCACAGGCAATGATGTCTGGGAGTCTGATCAAGGACTTCATCTCCTCCACGGTCATGTAACAGGGCACATCACTACAGCGGAAGAAGCGCCCTGTCAAGGTGGGCTACCACAAGCCCATCCCAACCCCCACTGGACCCCCCCATGAACCACCCTCCTGGCTATGCTCCAGGGAGCTCCTCGTGGGGGGGGGCACCCCACACTCCTCCAGGATGACAAACCCGTACATTTTATTAAAGAGTATCAAGACCGACGCTTCTGCTAGTCCTTCCGCAGAAAGGAGACCCAGGAGTTGCACGCAGGAGGCAGACAGCTGAGTGGGGTTAGCCGCATCCATCATGAACTAGGGAAGCAGAAAATGCAGACCAGTGCCACCTGTGAGGGAGACAGTCCTTCCCAAACCCCCTTCCTTGGATATCATGACCTGGCTCAGAAGAGCACAGTGACTTTGAAACAAAGGACTTTGGGGTCAGCAGAAGTAAAGGGAAATGAGCTGCACGAGAGTGACCTGCTGTCACTTGTTTCCACCCACATGGGTCTCTACTGGCATGGCCATCCATGCTCCCAGGAAGGGTCCTGGGCCTTGGGGCACAGGCCTTGCTAGGATGGGACAAGGTACGGAGAAGTCAAGCATAAGAACCCACGCATGAGAACATCTGAGAGAGCAAGCACGTTACTGGCAGAGAAGAAATACTTCTGTCGGGAGCCCCGCATGAGCTTTCACGTCAGCTCTGGAACAGGAGCACTAGGGATCAAGCTGGATTCTCAAAAGGAAGTCCCTGACTAGCCCAGGAACCCAAACTCCAGCCTGTACGGAGTGAGGTCCAGCACTACACGATCCCTAAACAAGTTCACGGGATCATGACCTACCAGGAGAGAACGGCAATTTCCATAGTAGCTGGGCCAGATGGGGCCCATGCACCCCCCCAGCTCCCGGATGGTAATCTTTCTTGGGACCACAATGTCAGTAAGGTCAGTGCCCACCTGTGGAGAAAACCAGGAAGCATTAAGGACACAAGCTCTTCCCCACTGGGAGCTCCTGGAGAGGGACGTGCACCGTCCTTTACACTGATCTAAACCCCAATACGCCCGTTCTCAAGGGCTTAGACCCTAAAGCACAACCCTAAGCAAAGAAGGCTAAAGTGGCTCCCAAAGGTCCACACCCTAACCCTCAGAGCTGGCTGTGGCCGCAGCTCCAACACCCGTCAGCGGGATTCGCCTCTGGGGCGACCAGAGAAAGCAGGGTGAAGAGTGTGAGGGGCGGGCGGCTCGGGGCCCCTGCCATGCACCCACGTCCACCGCAGCTCTGTCCCAGGAGGCAGGCTCCTTCCCGTGACACCCTGCTCACCTCCCGAGGGTTGCATTAACACACTGACCCGCCGGACTCCAGCTTCCACTTAACCCAAAGCGCTTTGCAAACCGTAAAGGGTACCCGTTTCTGCTAAACCTGCGGGAGAAGGGCGGCCTACCGTGGGCCGCGTCGGGGGAGGATCGCCCAGATCGCCTTTCCCATCCCCAGAGCTCAGCTGTGTGGGCAGTCAAGGATCCCGAGCCGGGCAGAGAACGCGGGCGGCGGCCAGACTCGCCCGGCACACCCAGCACCCCGCCCCCGGGACACCATCCCCGCTCCCCCGGGAGCATCCCGACGCCCGCACCGGTCCCCTGTCCCCCCCCGCCCGGCGCGGAAGGATATTCAGCAATCTTTTCACCAACAGCGTCTTCCCGACGCCCGAGGCCCCCAGCAGGAGACACATCACGGCTCCTGACTCCACCCGGCACCCGTAGCTCGGCGCAAGTCCCGCCCTCCACCCCGCTCTCATTGGATAGGGTCACGTCCGAGCTGTTCATTGGTTCTCGGCGCTCACCGTCTCAAAATGTGCGGCCTGCAGCCCAATCGGCGCACAGAGTCTGGGGCGAGTAGAAAAGCCCGCCTCCTCGAGTCTCGCGGCTCGCGGCCCGGCCCGGCCCGGCCCGGAGACGCGCGCGTGCGCGAGCCCGAGGGAAAGGCGGAAGCGGAAGTCGGGGGCGCGCCGGATCGCGGCGGAGAGCGCAGCGGCGTCGGGTCGGGGTCCGGGGTCGCCATGGGGCGCGGCAGCGGCACCTTCGAGCGTCTCCTAGGTAACGCGGCCCCCGCCCCTCGCGGCTGGCCAGCGTCCCGGGAGCGGAGCCGGGGGCCGCGGAGCGACCCGGGCCCCGGGGCCCGGGGTGTGGGTGGGCGCGCCGGCGGTGTGGGGACCTGGCAGTCCGGGGCGCTGGGCGCGGGCTCCGACCCGACTGGGTGAGGGTCCGCGGAGGGGCAGGGCCCGCGCTCACGGCGACCGTGCTCGAGGCTCTGCTCCTGTGCCGGGGCGGGCAGGTCCCCAGGGAAAGGATCGCCCCCCCCCCCCGGAGCCACAAGCATCTGACTGAGCCACGAGTCCTGAGTCACGGAAACGGGTGACCTAGTCAAATAGACCCCCTCCCCCCAAAAAACTCTAGGTTGCGGGGGAACTGAGGGTGCCCCAAACTCTGGGCTCCAAAGGGTGGAACCAGTAGTGTCCTCCCCGGGACCTGCCAGGCTCTTTGAGCGCTGCTTCCCTGGGAGGCAGGCCAGCCCTGTGTCCCTACTGGGCTCCGGGAAGGCCCCCAGGGCTTAGGGAGGTGGTTTTTCTGTTTGTCAGAGGTGGATAGCTGATCCTTTCTGAGCTTTCTGGAGGTCACCAATTTTAGTAAAAGGAAGATGGATGTTTATGGGCATGTCCTCCACCCCCAGTGCTACTGGGTGGGCTCTGTGTTTGGGATGGGTGCTTTGGGTGCTCCAGTGGTCGGTTTGAGCCTGCCCTGCTTTTTCCTTGAATGTGGTTTTGGAGGAGACCTCATATGAGGCACTTTCCTTGTTCTGAGAACATGCATGCTGAGGAGTGGTTCAGCCCTCCAAAGATCAATCCAGAAGTTACTAGCAGATCAGCACTGTGTGTGGATACACCTTATTAGACCCCCGGTGTGTCTCCAGAGAGGAGAGCATATTGTGTGTGTGAGGCAGCTGTGACGTACAGAGAGCACGGGTGTTATTTGAAGAATATTTCTTGGAGGTCATTCCTGGCTTCATCCCACAAAACACTTAAAGCAGAAGACTGGAGTCCAGGCTGCATCTTCTCCAGCCTTGCCCCCGCTGAGATCTCATTGGACAGGTTAAACGTGGGGAAAACCAGGGACTCAGGGATGAGGTGGCAGTGTAGTGTGAAACCCCTCCTGGCTTGGCCTGGCAAGCTGTGTGACTTTGGCAGTGACCTCACTTCTCTGCTTCATCGTCTTTGTCGTAAAGACGATGGGAATAGGACGTTGCTCAGGAGATTGTTTAAGAACTCGGTGATCACGTAAAGTGTTTGGATCGAGTGCACAGCGGGTGTGCTGTTAGTATTTTTTTAAGCTGTTTGCGTTTCTGGAAAGGATAGTACTCTCATGATTATCAGGCATCAAGAGGATTTTCATGGGGTTTTCCATTCAATCCAAATGTTTTAAATGGGAAGGAGGCAGTCCCTTCTCTCTGTTGCTGAGCTGTGGGGCCAACCAGGGAATCACAGAGGACAAGCCCCAGTAATGGTGTGTTTTTGCCGTAGACAAAGCAACCAGCCAGCTTCTGCTGGAGACCGACTGGGAGTCCATCCTGCAGATCTGTGACCTCATCCGTCAGGGGGACACACAGTAAGTGAGGAGGGTCTGTGCCTGCTCAGAAGCAGGGGGGTGGCAGCATGGCACTCCCGGCTTCCTTGGTGCCCACTGATGCTCTAGGATCCCGCGGTATCCTGCCCTGATGGACATCGACCACATTAGGCCTTAGGGGGAGAATTGAGCGGTCTTCACGCTGGGGTTTTGGGGATCTGGGGACAAGGAAAGTGTTTTCTCTCTACTGCTTGGAGGTACTTAACATTTGCTTGGGGATTTTGAAGACCAGAGGGTGGCAGAGGTATTCTCAGCTTCGCTTTTAATATAATATTTTTTTCTTTTCTCTTTTATCAATATTTCTTTTTTGAGAGCCAAATATGCCGTGAGTTCCATCAAAAAGAAAGTCAACGACAAGAATCCTCACGTGGCGTTGTACGCCCTGGAGGTAACTAGATCCCTGCACTCTGGCCACCTCAAGGGTCGCTGCCCCAGTGTCCAGATGGCAGAGACAGCGTGACCCTGGGGCCTTGCCCACCTGCCTGGGGTGTGAGGGCAGGTAGGAGCAGCCCTGATGGAGGGCAGTGCCTCAGCTGCCCCACCTGAAGCTACAGACTCAGGGCCCTGAGGTTGACTCTGGTCTCTGTCCCTGGTGGTAAGAAATGGAGTTAGAAGGAGTACGTACAGTGCTGGTTGCTGCCTGACTCAGAGCTGCCACGGGGACTCTCCTGATGGGCTAGGTTGCCCGAGGGGCCTGTCCAAGGCAGGTTAGCCCTGGCCGAACCAGGGGCTCAAGACTTCCCTTCCTTGGGTCCTGCAGGTCATGGAGTCTGTGGTGAAGAACTGCGGCCAGACTGTCCATGATGAGGTGGCCAACAAGCAGACCATGGAGGAGCTGAAGGAGCTGCTGAAGGTGGGCCCTTGGGGGGAGGCAGTGAGGCCCAGACAGTGGGGAGGGCACAGTTACCCCGAGGCTGTGCCTGTGCCTTTCTGGGGCTCTGCTGGCCCCTGAGGCAGTGGCAGGGCCAGGCAGAACGAGCACAGGCAGGTGGGTGTTGGTGGTCCCCGAACCTCCCAAATCCCAGCTCGATGACGTCGGGGCTTTACCAGAAGCAAACCGAAGTGCTGTGCTGGGGACGCAGAGGAGACCCTGCTCTTCTTGGGGGGGTCAGGGAAGGCTTCCCAGGGGCAGGGCTTCGAGTCTCACCAGGTTGTGGAGAAGGAGGGGGAGGAGCTGTGCGTGTGTGAGTGGCTGTGAGCAGAGAGTGTGGGCAGAGGCCTGGGGGGCAGCCCCGAAGGGCGGCTGGGTGGGTCCCACATGCAGAGCCAGGATTCTGAGCAGGGAGATGTGTGAGTCTGACATGTTCATGGAGGGAGGTTGGGGGAACACAGCACAGCAGGGACACCTTGGGGAGTGAGTTTCACACCCTCCTTTTGTAGAGGGGGGCCAGTCCTCCAGAGCCCCGAGAGATAATGCTGCACAGGCCACCGTCCACGGCCCCACAGGCTGGCGCTGCCCACCTGCAGGGATTGTGATGTGGGTGGTGACACCAGCAGGTTGTGTGATGCAGAGAGGGTGGTACAGGGGTGCACCCGTCCCACAGGGGTGAGGCAACCGGGGCGGTGGCCAAGGAGCGGAGCCCCAGACACTGTCTCTGCTACATTGGGGGGCAGGGCCCAGCTTCCTGGCCTGTGTGGGTGTCCGTGGCCTCACGTGGCTGAGAGCCCCCCTGGGACCCGAGCTGGGCCCTGACTGGGGACCCTGCATCCAGGCTGAAAGAGCAGAAGAGTCAGACCCTTCACTTCTCGTATCCAGTGATTGTGTCCTGTTTGTGCTGCATGTGGTCTAAGCCAGTTAGTACCCCCTTGGAGAGGGAGGGTCACAATAGGACACGGATTACAGGAAAGAACCAGAAGCCTAGTGGGTGAGTCTAGTTGGCATCTCCTGCCGTCTTCCTGAGCGTCCCCAGGAGAGCTCTAGGTACGTGACTGACGATGCTCTAAGCTGGTGGAAGTGGTGGCTCTGCACGTGGGGCAGCTCCTGGAGCGGCCGCCCCCTCGCCCCCCCGCCCCCGCCCACCGAGGCTGGCCGTGACCAGAGGAAAGGCGGCCAGCTGCACATCTGCTACCTCAGTGCGGGTCTGGTGGGCGCTGCCTGATAGGATCCTGGCGTTTGCCAGAGCCACACCAGCTTACAGATCAGGGGCCCCTGACGTTCACTAAGCTCCTGGGGGCAGGGAAGGAAGAAGCAGGTGGTTATAGGGTAGTGGGCCTGGGGAACCGGGCTTCGGGGCTTCCCCAGTTTTTCCCAAGGCATTAAAGAAAAGTCAGGCCCTGAGTGGGCACACCGCTGTGACAAGTTTGTCCTCGGGGACCGGTCTTCATGGAGGAGGGCTGCGCCTGGGTAATGGGTCCATGTGTGGCCCCGGTGCCCCAGGTGGGGGGCCCTCCCTGCCTCTGCCCGCCCCACGTGCTCAGAGTGGTGCGGTCTTCTTGCAGCTTCCTCATGCTGAGACGTCTCTGGCGTTCGTGTCTCCCATTCTCCTTCTTTCTTCTTTCTTCTTTCTGTGCAGAGGCAGGTGGAAGTAAATGTCCGAAACAAGATTCTGTATCTGATCCAGGCCTGGGCTCACGCCTTCCGGAACGAGCCCAAGTATAAGGTGGTCCAGGACACGTACCAGATCATGAAGGTGGAAGGTGCGTTGGGCAGGGGCTGTGTGTGTGCGCTGCGCGGGGCAGGGGGATAGCACCATACTGCATGAGCGGCGGCAGTGGGAGCCTGCTCTGGGCCCAGGAGCCGCTGCCTTTCCCGACCTCACGCCCAGTCAGGGCAGGACAGAGGCATGTGGTGGACAACACACAAGTGAAAAGACTGAGCAGAGGAGCTAAGTCTGGAGTGTTGGGTCCTAGGAAGGAAGTAAAACCAGGGGACCTCGCCTCCTGGGGGCTGATTTAGCACGAGGGGTGGGAGGAGGCCTGGAGAGCAGGCAGCTCGTGTGCCAGACCTGAACGTGTAAACAAGCCAGCATCCTGTGGAGGACTCGGTTCCGAGGCCCCAGGGCCATCACAGACCAGGGACAAGGCACAGGAGGGGCCAGCCTGCCAGAGTGGCTCAGGTGGGAAATCCTGGGAGGGCTGCAGCAGGGCTGTGACGGCCGGGGGACCTTTTCAAGGCCTCCTCTGTGCTCCTAGCTGCTGCAGCGGCCACACAGGTCTGCTGGGGCTTGGCGAGGAGGACAGTGGATTCAGACTGTAGTGCTCACACTGGGCAGTTGCGGGGGGGGCTGGGTCAACCCCCACCTGTGCAGAGGCCCTGAAATGAGGCATGGAGCAGGGGCGGCGTCTGGTGGCTACGGGTGGGTCAGACCCCGTGGAGACTGTGATGAAGGTTCTGTCCGCGTCGGTGAGCTGGCCTCAGGCCCCCAATCCTGGACGTTGGACGTGGGATGGCGGGTGTATGCTCGCACTTTCCTGGGGAGACAGCCCAAAGCTTCATGGAATCCTCAAGGGGCCTGTGTCTCCAAAAAGTGTGGGAATCTGTTTTAAAAGTCCTGAGAGGTACAGTCGGCTGGGGTGTGGGGCCAGGAGCCAGACAGCAGGTCCAGGGAAGATCTGTGAGGCCTTGATGTGGTGCGAATGAGGCCAGGCCCCATGCCCTGGGATGGGGCAGCCAGCTCACGCACCCGGACGCCTTCGCCTGGTGCTGGGTCACTGCGCTTGCTGCCCAGGGGCTCTGGGCCTCCTTTTGTAGGTGTGCTTGGGGAGGTGGCTGCCCAGAGCTAGGACGTGGCTCCTGAAGGTCTCAGGGCAGACTGGGCAAGGACAGCTGAGGCTGTCAGGGCCCCGCATACCGGTGTGGCACCAGTAGTGACCATGGTCTCCTTTCTCCAGGACATGTCTTCCCGGAGTTCAAGGAGAGCGATGCCATGTTTGCCGCAGAGAGAGTGAGTTCGCGGGGTGCTGGTCATCTAGGGGTTCGGTTGCTTTTTTTTTTAAGTTTTTTTTAAGTAATCTGTACAGCCAACATGGGGCTCAAACTCACGACCCTGAGATCGAGACCGCAGGCTCTTCCAACTGAGCCGGCCGGGCGCCCCGGGAGTTCAGCTGATTTGAGGAAGCAGAAGGGAAGTCCCGGGGTCCCGGCTTGTAGGGAACATCGGTGGGTGAAAGGTGGGTGAAATCTCAAAAACAACACGTGTGGGACGTGCAGCCATGCCTCCGGGGTCTCAATTTGGAACGCAGCTCAAGGTCCCTTTGTGCTGCGGCTGACGGGTTTGCGTAGTTAAGACAAATACCGACCCCAAGCTGCAGGGGGTCTTGCGGTCACACTTTCAGAAAGGAGAGCCTGTTTGGGATGGGCTCCTGCCTCGCATCTGTAGACTGGGACCACAGCTCCTGAGCCCACACTGGGGTCTTGTCCCCTTCGTGGGAAATAGGGATCTTGGCCGGGAAGGTGGGGGCCGTGTGATCCTGACTCTGCCTACCCCCCAGGCCCCCGACTGGGTGGATGCTGAGGAGTGCCACCGCTGCAGAGTGCAGTTTGGGGTGGTGACACGCAAGGTGAGTGTACCCGCCACAGGGCTGACTCCACCCCCCCCCCCCCGGCTGTCCCCAGGAGGCCACTGAACCCACTCAGGATCCTTTTTCTCTTGGCTGTGGCCTCATGGTGCAAGGAGCAGTTCCAGCTCCCAGCTCCGTGGTGAGCGGGGTCATCAAGGGGTCCCAAGCCCAGTGGTCTGTGCCGTCCGACGAAGCTTGGGTGCGGCTGTGCCCCCCTGGGGACAGGAATGCTGCAAACTTGGGGCTGTGGGAGGCTCGGGTGTGTGTTGCCTGGGCCCACAGCCCCCTGGCTGCCTCTCGAGGCTAACAGCCTGTGCGCTCTGGCCCTCGAGCCACTGTGTCTCTCCCTCCTGAAGCACAGACCACGATGGTGGAGGCTGAGGCCAGGGCTTCTGAGCAGACTCACTGGACCACTGTCAGCACAACCTTTTCTCTCCCAGCAGTTCATGCATGATTCTTGGGAACTTTTCTTTTTAATTTGATTTTTTCCCCCCCAAACGGTGGTTGCAGTTGAGAACCTGGAAACGTGCCATTTCCCTAGGGTCTTTGTGGCCTCCCAGGCCTGCCCTCTGCCCACCCTGGGAGGCCCGGCCTGGCGCCCTCTGCAGCGGGTAGTAGCGGGCGGGGTGGGCGCAAGGGGTCAGCAGCCCAGCACCAGGCCACACCCTGACCCGCTCCGTGTCACAGCACCACTGCCGGGCGTGTGGTCAGATTTTCTGCGGCAAGTGCTCCTCCAAGTGCTCCACCATCCCCAAGTTTGGCATCGAGAAGGAGGTGCGCGTGTGCGAGCCCTGCTACGAGCAGCTGAACAAGTGAGTTCCCTGCTGGGTGCCCTGGGGGCCCGGGTGTGCTCCCTGAAGCCGGGCTGCTTCTCTTGGCTGTCCAGGAGCAGGACTGGGGCCTGCCAGCCAGTTCCTTGGGTTTGTTTTTTGGTTTGTCTACTTTTTAACTTGGAAGAAAAACTTAGAGAAAAGATGCAGGTGTGGGAAGCAGAGCCTGCAGGGTGCGGCCTCCTCCTGGGTCCCTCGGTGTTGACACGGCCTTGTGGGCGATTGGGCTCAAGCGCGTGGTCTCCCTTCCCCATCTGCATGGGTGTTCCCGCATATCTTGTTCATTCTGAAGCTCGGGAGAGTGAGCTGCAGGTACCCTGTCCCCGAACCCCCCGTGTGCGTTTCCCAAGAAGTGTGTACTCCCGAGACCACAGTAGAGCCGTCCAACCAGGACACGCGATGTCTACTCTATGTTCCCGTCTGGTTCCAGCGAGCCCTAGTCATGTCTGGCGGCAGTCTTGCCCCCGTCAGGCCCGCCCAGGCCCCCAGCACAGGGCAGGTGGCTGTCACACCTCCTGCACGCCCGTGACCCAGATCTCTGTGCAGCCTCTTTGTCCCGACGTGTGCGGCTCTCAAGGGCCTGGGCTGGTGTGGTGCCCCCCTTGGTTCGGGTCTGAGGCCTTGTGGTTAGTCAGGTTGTGCGATCCCGGGATGAGGCCGTCCCACTCCGTGCAGCCGCTCTGGGGGCCTGCGCTGTCTGGCTCCCAGTGTCAGCAATGGGAGCTCATCCCTCCGTTAGGTGGTGCCTCCAGGCCGCTCCCCTGGAAAGTTCCTTTCCCGTGTTTGAACCTCATTTCCAGGAGAGGGGGCTGGGGCTTAGGCCAGGTGACCTGCCTGGGGTCCCGCGTCCCAGAGGCGACAGAGCTGGTCTGAGGGGCCAGTTTTTCTCCAGAGTGTGGCCTGTGGCACCACTGTCGTCATTCCGTGGGAATGCTGGGGGCCAGGGGATGGTGCTCGGCCACCCAGTGTCCTCTCGCCTCCAGGAAAGCAGAAGGAAAGGCGTCGTCCACCACGGAGCTGCCCCCGGAGTACCTGACCAGCCCCCTGTCACAGCAGTCCCAGGTACTAGCCCCGGGTCCCTGGGGGTGCCTCGTCCCCAGGCCCTGCTCACAGCCTTTCTGTTCCTAGTTGCCCCCCAAGCGGGATGAGACGGCCCTGCAGGAGGAGGAGGACCTGCAGCTGGCCCTGGCTCTGTCACAGTCGGAGGCCGAGGAGAAGGAGAGGATGGTGAGCTGGAGGGGGGCTCCCCCAGTGCAGGGGCACTGGGCCTGGGGCGTGCCCCTGGATGTTTGGGGAGGGCAGAGGAGTGTGGTGGGTCGGCCCCCCTGCACCGGGACCCTTCCTGCCTCTCCCGCAGAGACAGAAGTCGGCGTATGCTGCTGCCACGTACCCCAAGGCAGAGCCCGCGCCCGTGGCCTCGTCGGCGCCCCCGGCCGGCAGCCTGTACTCTCCGCCTGTGGTGAGCGCCCTCCCAGGCTGGGCCGTGCTTCGGGGCGGGAGGGCGGGAGGGCTGCCCCGGAAGGGAGGGCCTGGTGAAGCTGGTGAATGTCAGAGTCCAGCCTGGCCCTCCCCAGCCCTCCGCTCCAGGTCGGGGTCCTCTAGGGAGGACGACGCTGGGAAGGCCGCAGGCCTCCCCAGAGCGAGAGGAGGAGGGCAGACCCTGAGCTCGAAGGGCCCGCCTTTTTCTGGCCTCGGTCTTCTCTGTAAGTAAGGTGGTGGGCGGCAGGTGAGACAGAAGGTTTAGGAGGTCACGGCGAGCCCTGCGGTGCTCTGGGTGGGCCTGGGTGGCTGAGGGCCTGAGAACAGTCCACCGTTGGGACCGGCGGTGTGGTTGCTAGGAAGGCTGGCGGGATACCGCCCTGCGCCTCGTTCCGTCACAGCGCCCCGGGGACCCCTTGGGCAGACCGGCCAGAGCCTGGGGTCCACTGTCACCGTGGTGGCGTCCCAGCCTCCCGAGCGACGGCCTGGGAGGAGCTGGGCACGTGTTTGAGCCCATGGGTCACTGCTGCTCTGGTCTGTGTCTCCCCAGACTTCGTCGGCGCCGTTGGCAGAGGACATCGACCCCGAGGTGAGGGTGCCCCCCCGTGCAGTGCTTTCCCCTGCTGCTCCCTGGCCCTTGCGAGTGACCCTTGTTGTGTGCACAGCTCGCCCGGTACCTCAACCGGAACTATTGGGAGAAAAAGCAGGAGGAGGCCCGCAAGAGCCCTACCCCGTCCGCACCTGCGCCCCTGACGGAGCCGGCCGCCCCGCCTGTGGAGGGGCATGCAGTCCCCGCCAACGCGCTGGAGGTGCGCTGCTCTCGGCACACTCCTGCGGCCTGCGGTCCTGTTGGGGGGGGGCCTGGGATAGGCCGGATGACGCCCTCACCCCCTCTCTCCTCTTCCAGACCCCCCTCCCGGAGACAGACTCTCAGCCCATAGCTCCCTCCGGCGGCCCCTTCGGCGAGGTAAGCTGTGGTTCCCTCACGGGCCCCGCACAGGCAGCTCTCCTGATGGGGCTGAGCCCTGCCCACAGCGACCTCCCAGGGGCAAGCCATTCCAGCCCAGAACTCTCGATGGAACATCTCTGGGTTGGCTGGCTGTGGTCCAGAACTTGGCCACTTGCTGCCTAGAATGGATCGGAATATTCTAGGGCACAGCCCAGAATCACCTGGATGAGTCCTTGTTCTGTCCTGGGGCTTCTGGGCTCTGTTGGTCATTGGACTGAGAGACCGGGGCCTCTTTGAGGGAGGCAGGTCCCCTACAGGGTAGGGGCAGAGGGGCTGTGAGCCAGGCCGCCCGAGCTCCAGCCAGCTCTGTCCTGGCCAGCACCACGCCCAAGTGCAAGAGTTAAGCCTTCTCGGGCCTCAGTGTTAGCATTTGTCAAGGGGGGTGCTAAGGGTGCCCCTCATAGCACCACTGGGAGGATCGAGTCCTGCACAGCAAGCTGAGAGCTCAGGGCTTGGAGTGGTGGGTGGTGCCTCGCCCAAGGGGCTGCTCCGCAAGAGCCCCCACCTGTCCCCAGCAGCAGTACCAGAACGGGGAGTCGGAGGAGAACCACGCACAGTTCCTGAAGGCCCTGCAGAACGCCGTCACCACCTTCGTCAACCGCATGAAGAGCAACCACGTGCGGGGCCGCAGTATCACCAATGACTCGGCAGTGCTTTCCCTCTTCCAGTCCATCAACAGCATGCACCCCCAGCTGCTGGAACTGCTCAACCAGCTGGACGAGCGCAGGCGTAGGTGCCGCAGTGCACGGGTCGGGGGGGCCCTCGGCCTGGTGTCATGTGAGCACTGTGTGCTGACCGCTCGCTGTGGGCACGGAGAAGGTCCTCGGGTGGGACTACCCCGAAGGCGGCAGCTTCTCGAGAGTCCCGCTCTGGGCTGCGGGCAACACGGGAGGTGGTCCCTGCGATGAGAAATGTCCCACTAAGCATAGGATCATCAGCTCCAGGAAGAATCCCACCCCCATCCCTGACCCTGGGAGCCCAGATGCCAGCCGTGCCCTGCGGACAGGCACTTGGCTGGGTCAAGGCAGGCCTGGTGGTCAGAGCTCGGCACTGGGCAGCCGGTGCTTGCCTCCCACGCCACGCACTCCTGGCGCTGCCCTCTTCCCACAGTATACTATGAGGGGCTGCAGGACAAGTTGGCGCAGATCCGCGATGCCCGGGGGGCGCTCAGCGCCCTGCGGGAGGAGCACCGGGAGAAGCTTCGCCGGGCAGCTGAGGAAGCCGAGCGCCAGCGCCAGATCCAGCTGGCCCAGAAGCTGGAGATCATGCGGCAGAAAAAGCAGGTGTGGTGGCCGGCCCCACCTGGGGGGTGCCGAGGTCGTGGACAGCCCTGATGGTGCCTTGTGCCCACAGGAGTACCTGGAGGTGCAGCGGCAGCTGGCCATCCAGCGCCTGCAGGAGCAGGAGAAGGAGCGGCAGCTGCGCCTGGAGCAGCAGAAGCAGACCATCCAGATGCGCGCCCAGATGCCCGCCTTCTCCCTGCCCTATGCCCAGGCACGCACCCACCCCGGGCCACCCCTCACCAGGGGCTGCAGCCACCGAGGACTGCCCTGACCGCCGTCTCTCTCTGTCCCCAGCTCCAGGCCATGCCCGCGGCCGGGGGCGTGCTGTACCAGCCCTCGGGCCCAACAAGCTTCCCGGGCACCTTCAGCCCCGCAGGCTCAGTGGAGGGCTCCCCCATGCACACGGTGTACATGAGCCAGCCGGCCCCCGCCGCCGGCAGCCCCTACCCCAGCGTGCCTGGGGCCGGAGCAGGTAATGGGGCGGGCGCAGGTGCCCACCAAGATGAGCTCCAGACTACTACTTTTTCCTTCGTTTTTGTTTTGCTCTAATTTCAGTTTTACAGAAAAGTTAAATAGTACAAAGGGTTTTCTAGATTTCCCAAACAATATTTCATTACATTTGCACTCTCTATCTGTACGTGCAGGTGTGCACACATATACATGGACTTTTTTCCCTGAATCTTTTTATTTTTTTAAGATTTTATTTGACAGAGAAAGGGAGAGAGGGAACACAAGCAGGGGGAGGGGGAGAGGGAGAAGCAGGCTTCCTGCGGAGCAGGGAGCCCGATGCGGGGCTCGATCCCAGAACCCTGGGATCATGACCTGAGCCGAAGGCAGACGCCCAACGACTGAGCCCCCCAGGCGCCCTCCCTGAACCTTTTTAGAGCGGGTGGCGGGTACGATGCTCTTTGCTGCTAGCGCGGTCACAGCATGTGACCTCACCGATGGCCGGGTTCAGCTCTCCCACACGGTCGCAGTAATACCCCTTGTGCAGACAGGAAACCCCATGGCTGTAACTGTTTGGCTGCTTTTCATCTTTGATCTAGAATGTTCTCTGCTTTTGTGATCATGACGCTGACTCCTCAAAGAGCCCTGGCCTGTTGTCTTGCAGACCAGCCCTCGCTGGGTCGTGGCTGGTCTTCGTGGCTGGGTTTTGACCGTGCATCCTGGTCGCTGGAGTGCTCAGCAGGAAGGCACAGCCGGCTGCTGGCCTGAGGCGTGCAGGCGGCCTCTCAGGGTTCTTGCAAGGGCCTGGCTGTCCCGTGGCAGTCAGCAACCATTCAGTGGGGACGAGACTTGCACCCATCCTTGCTCCTCCCAAGTTGTCACCCGCTAGCTTCAGAGCCTTCTCTTCCATGTGTGAGGCTGTCATAACGTTTGTCACCCAGTGACTTTATCATCTCGTTCGTCTTGTTGGTCAGTTGTCTTTCCACTGTAAGGAGGCACTTCTCCTTCTCTTTACTCTTTCATTGTTTACATCCACGTGGACCCATTTTATTCAAATTTCACAATTGGTTTCACGGCTCAGATGGTCCCAGGTGTGGCCAGCTCCGGGGCCATCTACCCCCATTCTGTGTTCATATTGTCGCTGCTCAGCCCTGGAGGCAGCCCCTGTCCAGGGAGCCGCTGGTCCTGGGAGTGGGGGTTGTTCAGCATCTGGGGCCCGCGGCAGACCGCGAGGACATGTGCATGCACGCACAAGCCTCATCTGCGGACGGCAGACCTGGGTTCAGTGATACGGCCCGGGGCTTTCTCCTCTCTCCACGCCTGTATCCTCCCCACATGGGCTGCTCTGTTTGTTCCTGGAGTACACAGAAAGTGGTTTCGGGAATGCCAGCCCAAGCCCCTGGGGAGAGGTCCTCCTGACTGGGCTCACTAGGTCTGGTAGTCCTCTGTCTTCAGACCCTGAATTTCAGAAGGTGCAAGAGCTCGTTTCCCCCACCCCTCCCGTGCCGGCCTGTTACACCCCGTCGATAGTTTGGTTCATTTCTTCTGATTTTCATTTCTTCTGATTGCCTTCAGCACTAGAGCTCCTCTCCCATCCTTGTTGGTTTTTTTTTCCTTTTGTGAGAATGTGAAATGTGAACTTGGTTCCAGAAGTCACCCTGCAGGGTAGTGAGCTTGCTCCTCTCCCTCCGTAGATCCCAGCATGGTGAGCGCCTACATGTACCCAGCGGGGGCCACGGGGGCGCAGGCAGCCCAAGGCCCCACCGGGCCCACCGCCAGCCCAGCCTACTCGTCCTACCAGCCTACTCCGACACAGGGTTATCAGGTAGGCGGGCAGGGTTGGCTCCCCTCCCCAGCGAGGGCCCGCAGCCCTTCTCCCATCACGCGCTTCCCTCCACAGAACGTGGCCTCCCAGGCCCCCCAGAGCCTCCCGGCCATGTCCCAGCCTCCACAGTCCGGCGCCATGGGCTACATGGGGACCCAGTCGGTGTCCATGGCTTACCAGCCTTACGGCATGCAGGTGAGAGACCGCGTGGGGTGTCCACGTGGAAAAGAGGCTGGGGGAGCACTGGGCAGGCCCCGCCTTCCTGCCCATCCCCCCTTCCCCACCGGGAGGCTCTCCTAGCTGGTGGGCATTTGATTTTCCAAGTCAGAAACGCCCCCCTTTATTGGCATACAGGGCTCCTTCACGTGGGGTTCGCTTCATTTTCACAGAGTCTCATGAGCACCCTCCCTAGCCAGGACGCACCTCTGCCACCCCCCCAGCAGCCCTACATCGCAGGGCAGCAGCCTATGTACCAGCAGGTGAGCTCCTCCCAAGGCTGCCGGCAGCTTGGCTAGAGGACGATGGTGGGGCTGTCCTGGGAGGAGGAGACCGTGCAGGCCAGGACTGCTTCCCAGCCGGCACACACGCAGCAACGCACACAGATGTCCAGACCCCACACGTGCTCAACCCCGTGGACACTGGTCGGGAACTCCTGGGGTCTCCGCTGGGGCAGGACGAGAACAGGGAACCCACGACAAGCTGGGAGGAGGGAGGCCTGGCGTGGACTGGGCTTTGCCAGGACTGAGCCCTGGGGCTGAGACCAGGGTGGAGCGTTCTAGAAAGAAGCCGTTGAGGGGGGAAGGCCAGGGTCCGGGGAAGGAGGACTGATGGTTCCTGTGCCTTACCCCCAGATGGCGCCCTCCGGGGGACCCCCCCAACAGCCACCCCCCGTGGCCCAGCCACCCCCTGCACAGGGCCCTCCGGCGCAGGGCAGTGAAGCCCAGCTCATCTCGTTTGACTGACCGCGGCCGGGAGCGCGCCAGCCAGAACAACACTACGGTTCTCTGAACCCACCGCCTCTGTCTCTAACTAGCGTCGTATTCCTGCCTCGCTCTCCTCTTACAGCCATGTAGTGTCCCTGCTGCGTGCAGGGCGTGGCCCCCCGCCCTGGCCCCGCCCTCTGCCCTCTCCTGCCGACCCTCGTGCCCCCGGGCCACACCCTCCCCGTCTCCCTGAGTTGGTCTCGGACTTCTTTCCCCAGGGCTGGGCCTCGGAGGGTGGGATCTTCTCCGAGAGGGAGCCTTCAAGCCCCGTGTGTCAGGTCCTGTGAGGGCTGGCTGGAGTGGGGTCCCTCTTCCTGTGCAGCCTGGGCCTCCCCCCATCTGCACCCGGGAGACCGCACGGCTCGTGTGCGTGCTTCCCAGAGCCCCCTGGCGTAGCCCCCTGCGGTCAGCATGCACTCCTGGCCCTCACGGGAGGGTGGGGCTTGTCTCCAGCTTCTCTGCTTCTGAGCTGCCATCTCATCCAGTGCCCCAAGTAGACGGAACGGAACACTGATAATAAAATGTCTTTCAACAAGTATCCGAGTGTACAGAAGGAAGGTGGTGGGCAGCTGGTGCAGCTCTGGACAGGGGCGAGTAGGCACATGCCTGTGGGCCAGCCTGTCCCAAACCAAGCCTGGTTCCACAGTCAGTGTCGAGGGGTGGGCACTGCTCTGGCAGCAGCTGCAGATCTGATCCTTCCCTGAGACGGCACCACGGAGCTGGGCCCTTGGGGAGCCCAGCAGCAGTCCTCCCCATCCAGCCCTGCTCTGCCCTGACTCCTGGAAGACTTGCAGCGCCCAAGGATGAGTGTGATTCTACACCAGTCAGAGTTGTAGTCTGGAAGAAAATACCTTATCGTAGTGTATACTCAGCCCCTTGTATCCAGAGTTCAGAACATTTCACACACTTTAAATATCTCGTAGGTGACCCCAGCGTTAGCTCTTCTGTGAAGAGATGGACTAGTTTACTAGGCAGAGAGGCTACCTGAGCTCGGGCCAAAGGCAGGGCCAGGACAGGAGGTTGCGGGGCAGAGGACGGCTCTGCTTTCTTGATTTGATGTAATAAGTGCTGCTCCATGCCTGGCTCTTAGAAAATCAGCTGGGAGAGGAGAGACTGATGCCTGTAAAGAGCAAAGACCCAGGAGCCTCAGGGCAGATGTCGTCAGAGGGGCCGGGGAGGCACCCCACGTGCACAACGTTTGGGAGCTGGATGGAAGGGCAGGCAGGACTTCAGAGCATTCAAGCAGCTGGACACAGAGCCAGGGCTTATAAATTCTCTTCTCCCAAGCGAACCGCTAGCCCTCCCGCCCACGACCCCATCACTCGACCCTTCCAGGCTCAATCACAACCCTTAGCCACGCTGTCAGCAGAGAATCCCGAGTTCAACCGCCCAGACGCGCGGGCCCAGGACGCGGCCTCGCTCCCGGGGCGGCACGGACCGACAGAAAACGTGCTCCCGCGCTGGCGCGAGAGGCAACCCTTCAGCGGGAGGAGGGAACCAAGGAGACGGCTGCCCAGAGGGCAGCGGGAGCTCTCGGCGCCAGGTGACCTCAGGCTGCGGGCGGCCAGGGAGGGCGTCCCGAGCCGAAACCACCGTCAGCCGGCGCGAGGCTTCGACGGGTGTCGGGGAGTGGGGGTCACTGCACTGTCCTCCCCGGCCGGACTACTCGCGGGCCGGGACCGCCTCCCCGAGCCTCGGCCTTCTCTGGCCTTCGTTCGCCTAGCGAGGACGGGGCCCCAGGGCCCCGACCCCGACTCCCGGCCGCCACCAACGAGGTTCTGCGCCTGCGCGGGTCGCCGTCTTGTGGGTAATCTCTGGGAGCGAGAGGAAGCCAGCGCGAGGTGCGGCTAGAGCGTCCTCTCCAACTCGTTTCGCCGGCGGCCTCCTGGGCTAGAGCGTCCTGACACAGCTCGTATGCTCGGCGGCCCCGGCGGCTAGAGCGTCCTTACTCAGCTCGTATGCTCGGCGGCCCCGGCGGCTAGAGCGTCCTTCTCCTGGGGAGCCGCGTGTGACCTTCCCGCCCGCGGACCGATGCTGCTGGCGGCCGCTCGCCCCCTCTGGGGGCCGTGTCTCGGGCTTCAGGGCGCTGCGCTCCGTCTCGCCAGGTACCGCGGTCCGCCGAGGGCTGGAGGGTGGCAGGGTCGGGGCCCTCGGCCGGCAACTGAGGGTGCAGGTTGGGGGCGGCGTCCGCGCGCGTCGGGCGGTGTGCCACCGGACTCGTCGGGGCCCGGCGCAGGTGGGCGTCGCGAGGGCCCCCCCCCACTCCGCCGACTCCTTACCCTCGCGGGCTGCTGAGTGTGCTAGGGGTGGCCCCAGATGACCGTGCACAGGTCCCTGCCTCTCCCCGGGCCTCAGTTTCCCCCGCAGCCCCAGTGACGTGGTAGGTCTTCCATCGCTGGGTCCGGCGTTGTGCCGCCCGAGGGCCCCAGATTCTGAGAGGCTTAGTATAGCGGAATGCATTCAAGTTACTGTCCTGCTCCCTTGGGCAGATAGTTTTTTCGACCCGGAAGCTAATGTTGTGGGTAGCATGTCTGCAAATACTCGCGTGGATTTCTAAGGCTCGTTGAAGAATTTAAGGTAGCTGGGAAGTCCCCTTATCCTCGTGGACCCTGGAACCTGAGAACCCCGGGTTGGGCCCAAGGAGCTAGACCTGAGCTCATAGCGCCTACCCGCCTGGTCTGTGCCACCCGCTTGTGCCAATCTGACAGACTTGTTTGAATGGGGGGGCTAGGCAACAGGTGCCCCGCGTCTGCACTGTGAGGCTGATGAGATGCGGCGGCCATCGAATGGGGGAGGCCCTCGCCGGTGCACCCCTGGATAACGCGCCCAAGGAGTATCCCCCGAAGATCCAGCAGCTTGTCCAGGACATCGCCAGCCTCACACTCCTGGAAATCTCAGATCTCAACGAGCTTCTGAAGGTATCACAAGCCCAGGCCTGTGTCTTGTTCTTGGTATATTTGGGGAGCGTAGTAAATTGTCCGAAGCATGCTTCCTGAGTATGAGGTCTGTGTCAGGCTTGTTGTGTGGGTGTCTTCGAACGTGATGGGCAGCTACTGAGACTGCTCTCCCTTCTCCCTGCAGAAAACACTGAAGATCCAGGATGTTGGACTCATGCCGATGGGCGGCACAATGCCCGGAGCTGCCCCTGCCGCAGCAGCACCCCCCGAGGTGGGCGCAGGCCAGGGTCCCATGCAAAAAGGTTTTCCTCTGGTGCCACCATGTCACGTGGCCAGATTTCTCTCGTTGTCCCTCACCTTGAGCCTGCATCAGCCAACACATCCCACAAAGCTGTGTGTGCTGGCTGTGGGCCACCTGCAGCCTCCTTGGGACCACCTTCCTGCCGAGGATGTGCAGATCCCTGCCCACGTGGAGACCATGTTTCTTGTGGAGGGAAATTGGCGATAAACCAAATAAGAAGAAAAAGAAAAATTTTATTGAATAGCAGAACATGATAAGTGCTGTGGGAAAAACGTAGGGAAGAAGCTTAACGGGAGGGGAGGGTTACAATTTCCAGGGAGGCCACAATAAGGAGGTGGCACTGTAGGGGAGATTTGAGGAATACAGGAAGAGAGCAGGGCATTCCCGGCAGAGGGCTGGTGGGCACAAGAGCCGTGGGGCACGGCCAGGGCTGGAGCAGAGATGGGGGGGCGATGGGCAGGTTTGGGTCTCCGCGACGAAACCAGCTGACCTGAAGCCACGCACTAATTTGTTATGGTTTTTGTTTGTTTCTGGTTTGGTGGGGGGATGTTGCACTTTCTGTTGGGAAAATTCCAAAGTTATCAACAAGTACAAAGAACATACGTATCACCCAGCCTCAGTAACGATTAAGGTTTTGCCATGTTTACTTTGCTTGTCCCTTGAAGCTTAAGGCACGTGTCCGGTCTGTCCTTTCTCTTTGTGCTCCAGCACATACCTCTAAACACTTATGTGCTCCAGCACATATTTCTAGACACATATCTCTTAACGTAGCCACGAGCCCTTTGCACGACAAACATCATTAACAGTGATTTTCTCAATCAGTCTATTCAGATTTAGCTAATGGTTCCAGACTTTATAGCAGTTGGTTTATCTCAGTCTAAACACTGTGTGTTGCATGTGGTCACTAGGTCTCTGCAGTCGGGCTCCCGTCCTCAGTCCCCTTTCCCTGGCCATCCGTTACTATGAAATCCAGGTCAGGGGTCCCGCGGGGTGTCCCACGTCCCAGACGTGTCTGTTGGTTCCAGTGGTATCAGCTCCACTCCTCCATCTGCTGCAAACTGGTAGCTTCACAGGCTGGTGAGATTCAGGCTGAACATTTGGGGCAAGGAGAGACGGAGTTCCTCTGAACTTTATTGTCGAAACTGGAACGCTTCTGAGAATGCAGGGATACTGTCAATAATTGGGGGGCAGGAGGCGGCTGGGGGGCTCAGATGGTTAAGCGTCTGCCTTCGGCTCAGGTCACAATCCTAGAGTCCCGGGATTGAGCCCCTCATCGGGTTCCCTGCTCCGCGGGAAGCCTGCTTCTCCCTCTCCCTCTGCTGCTTCCCCTTGTGCTCTCTCTATCAAAAATAAAATCTTGTAAAAAATAACAATTGGGGAGCAGATCTAAACCAGGACTGCCCCCAGGCTGCTGGGCCACGTGTCCCCTGCCCCGCGGGGGTGCTGTGTCTTCAGCTGTGACAGCAGGGCCTCTGTCAGCCTCGTCCTCCTGTCGGTCACTCGGCAAAGGTGGGGCTGCGGCTGCCTGTCAGTTTATCATCCACACGGGGTTTGGCTGAGGATGACAATGGCACTGCTTTCCTGAAATGTTGTTGGATAAGAGCTGTTGGTGTCACCCTGTCTGTCCCACAATTACAGCTTTGAAGGGATAAGGGAACTTGAGTGGGTGGGTGAAGGGAGGTGGATTCAGAACCGCTTCTGGGGAGAAGGCAGTGTTCTGGCCTGGGAGCCAGGTCTCAGCTGGGGAGTGTGGGAGGGAGGGAAGGCTCCAAGCGGTTAGCCCCGAGCCCAGCAGGGCTGGTGCGCCTCCAGCTGGAGCTGCAGGCCTTGCTGGCCTTGCTTTGGGGCTTGGGGGTAACAGGACAGGGTGGCCCAGGAGCGAATGTGCCTACTTCACCCTGTGCTTTGTCTCTCCCTCTCCCAGGTCGCAGAAGAAGACATCCCCACACAAAAAGAACGGACACATTTCACTGTCCGCCTAACAGAGGCAAAGCCCGTGGACAAAGTGAAGCTGATCAAGGAAATCAAGAACTACATCCAGGGCATAAACCTCGTCCAGGTGAGCTCCGTGTGCCACACAGGCCTCTCCCTGCTGTCCCTACCATGCAGGCGGTTCTGGGACTGACCCCTTCTGGGGCAGGTAGGTTGCGCCCACCCAGGCCCCATTCCTGACTTTGCTCTGTGGCAGGCAAAGAAGCTGGTGGAGTCCCTGCCCCAGGAAATCAAGGCCAATGTCGCCAAGGCCGAGGCAGAGAAGATCAAGGCAGCCCTGGAGGCGGCGGGCGGCACCGTGGTTCTGGAGTAGGCCAGCTCTGAGGACTGGTGGACAAGGGTCCCTGGGACCTGGGCGAGGCCCCCCTGTCTGGGACCCGCTGGTGGGAGCAGCCTCCGAACAGAACTACGGCACTGGCACCCCTGGGCCAATTCCGTTCTGGGCCGGGCGGATGGACCGGCTGAGCCTGGGGGCGTGGCTCCTGCGTGAGCACCAGGGAGACGGACTCTAGAACTTACTGCGGTCAACATGCACCCCCTGGTGGCCACTGAGAAAAATACATTGTTTGGGCACTGTGTGTACAGAGTGGTGTATCTGGGTGGGCTGCCAGGTGGGCGGTGGGGAGCTGGCTAGGGTAGCCCCCTCATTCCCCAGTGGGATGTGTGGGGGTTGGCCAGCGACCTTCGGGTCCTTTGTGTGCAGGGGCCTGACCTCCCAGGGCTGGTGGCGGCACACCGGGGGTATGGGCAGCGCCCGTCCTGCTGGGGTGGCAGCAGCTGGCTGAGGCCAGATCATCACTGGGAGGTGGGTGTGGGGCACCTGTGGTGGTCTTTAGCAGACTGAGGTGAGCGGTGAGGCATGTGCCTGAGAATGGCAGGCCCCCGTGTCCCCTCCCTGGCCACGCTGGAAGAATGCAAGGACAGGGCTGTGGGACCAGAGAGGACATGCGTCTAGGATAGAACCCCTCAGGATAGGCCTGGGGAGCTGCTGTGTTCCCAGGGGGGCATGCCCAGCACCCAGAGAGTATGCTTCCTGCTGGACTCCTTGTAAGAAGGCTGCTCCCTGACCCAGAGAGCCCCACTGGCCAAGTCTGTGGCCCGGACAGTCCCAGAGGGTTAAAGATTCACCATCAGCGGATCTCTGGGCATGCCTTCCCTCAACAGGTGACTACTGGGCCACCTGGGCGGCTACGGCTGGCCCAGTATCCTGCTGACCCAACTGCCTTTCCCTGGGGGAAGGGAGTGGTCTGAACTCAGGGACAGTCCTCAGCCTCGGCCTTCCCTTCCGCAGGTCACCTACAGAGTCCGCTTGATCTCTGAGCCCCTTTGTCTTTCCAGGGGAATTGGGGTGATGATGAGGACTCCTTTTCTCCCCTTCCCTCTTCCTGGGATAATGGGACCTCCTGCTCCATGCTGGACGGCCTGGGGGTGGCTGCTTAAAAGTGCAGGTGATGCCGTACCCCAGGGTCATCAGGCTATCAGGCCATCCCCATTCTGCCTACCTTCCACCAGGCTAGGACGGTGCTTGGATGATGATCGCTTGGTGCCCCCCACCTGACCTCACAGTCCCTGGTGGTCCTACCCTTTCATCCCCCCCAGCTCCAGTGTTGACCTGCTCTGCTCTGCAGTTGGCCAATAAAGTGTCTCCGACCTGGCAGTAGGTGGGGTGTGCCCTGAGGCCCTGGAGGCCACTTGGCCTTGGCCCCTGAGCTCAGCAAGGAAAGTAGAAGTAGGTCTGCTGTGCATCCTGAGTTGCCCTGATGGCGCCCACACGAAACCTTACAGGTCCTGTCAGGTCCTGGTAGGAGTTAGCATACTGGGTCTTTGTCCAGGCTAACGAAACACGGAAGAGGGAGATCTGGAGCTGACCCCTGCCTCCTGCCCATTCCAGGGACCCTGGTGTCTACCTGGCCCCCATGTGGCCCCATGAGGACATGGGAATGCTGCAGTGCAGACAGGCCCCACCCGAGAGGCCTGGCCAGGCAGCCTTGTTCTCAATACCTCGCCTGACCTCCCCATCTAAAACCTTGGGTTTATGCACAAGTTGTTACGATCCATTTGAGAATTCGGCTGGGGATCTTTTTGAGTTCGCTGACCTAGAGCTTGCAAAGTGCCACCTTTGTCTTAAAAAGTTGCCCCATACTTGGTGCGTTTTCCAGGATTCCTCCACACTTTGCTCTCCTCGAGCGTTTCCAGATCTTGAGGGAGTTCACAGATCGCAATGTGCTGTGCTGCCGCTCTTGACATTTCAGTGCTCAGATCTCTTCAGTTTCTGCTCCGAAGCTTCAGGGATCCGCTGTTCTCACCTGGGGGCAGTCCTTGGTCTGCACTGGGGCTTTCTCCCCGCTGTGGGTTCAGGACCCTGTCTTGCTGATGTGACTACAGAGAGGGGGCAGCCCCCACCCCGGGACCTTGCCCCTACCTTTCTGGGCTGTCCCCTCCACTTGCCTTCTCTGAGATTAGCTTCTTTGTAGTCAGGAGCTGGTAACATTGCCCTTGGGCTGACCAAAGATTCAGACATCTTGATTTATCTTGAATGAGACCTGGTTCTGGGCAGGTTTTGTGCTGGCTTGGGTCTCAGGAGTGGGCTTGAAGATGCTACTTACTTCCCATGGGACACTGGACAAGGAAGCCACTCCCCTGCAACCCACCAGTCTGTTAGCTCTGTTTCTTTAAACAAAGGGCTTAGGTGTGAAAGCCATCTCATGTTTTCACATTTCCTTGCAGAGCTTTGGTGTCTCGCATCTTCTCTTTTTTTAATGGAACTGTTTTTCCTAATTTCAGTTTGTTTATTGCTGATATATAGAAATACAATTGAATTTTTTTAAGTAACCTCTATGTCCAATGTGGGGCTTGAATTCAGAACCCCAAGATCAAGAGTCACATGCTCTTGGAACTGAGACAGCCAAGTGCCTCCTCTGGTTTCTTCTGGAAAATTGCTGTGACCCTTCCCCCACTGTGCCTGCCCCCACCCCGCCCCGAGCCCAAGTTTCCATCTAGTCTACAGCTAGGGTCTTCTTTCCATCCTGCCCCTCTACTTCAGATCCAGCAGGATGCCTGTGTGGCCACCCCCTCCCCCACCTCCCAGGGTCCCCAGCATTTCTGGGCTGGACACCATCTCTGCAGCTGTTCCCCAGCTGATGACCTCAGGGGTCAGAGGCCTCCTGCAGTTCTAAAAGACAGAGTCCTTTGTCTCCGAGTGCCAGCTCTAAGTAAATAGGGAGGTTTGCTGGCCTATACTATGCCTCTGACACAGCTAGATAATTGATGGGCGCTCGGCAGGCTCAGGGGACCCAGAGTTGTTTCCCCAATGCCCCTCACACTTCTCCCTTGGGTGGGGGTGGAGGGCTGCAGTGGCCAAGCTGGGACTGCAAGATGTAGGTTCTTCCCTGGGGAAGGGGTCTCTGGCTCTGTCTTCTCTGGGTCTGTGTGGCCCTGCTGTAAAGTGGCTCTGGGGATTCAGATTTCCACCTTGCCCAGCAGGTGCATCTCTGGCTTAGGAGCATACTTCCACCTCCTGTTTGCTGGATGGTGGAATAAGAGTGGGGATCTGCACACATGTGGCTATCTCCTGGGGGCAGGCAGCCACTCCAACTCCTAGGAGCCTGAACTCCCATGGCTCAGAACTTCCTGTCTCCTTGTCCACTTCCAGGATGGTATTATGGTCAGAGCACACCTGAGGCTGGACTTGGCTGGGAGCACCGGAGGGCCGCTAGTCTCCCCGAATTGTCTTTTGCCCCTAGTTTTTCTGTAATCTGCTGACTGGCTCCAAGAAGGTTTTCTGCCACCCCCTCCAGATGCACGTGTCCCAGGGCTGACCCCCAGGGCCTGCGTCGGGGAGCTGGGACACTGGGTGCAAGGTCAGGGCCGCGGCTGGGGCGGGCTGTTTCCAGGAGGCCGGCCTCCGGGAGTAGCAGGGACTGGCTGAGCGCCGAGGCCGCTCCTTGGCGGTGACCTTCGGAGACCTGCCCTAGGCGTGGGGGCGACCCTGGGGCGGCCGGAGCAGGGCGGGGTGGGGGGACGCCAGGTTCCCGGGGGGAGTGGAGCAGGCCACCCAGCAGGCTCCCTGGGGTCGGTGGGGGGGGCTTCCCCCCGCCACGCCCTAGCCCCTCGGGCACAGATGCAGGCGGCTCGGCAGTGCCCACTCTGCTCCGTTGCTGGGCCACCGCCGCTTTAAGGCGCGGTCCGCCCCCCGGCTCGAGGCGGGGTCTAGATGGCCCCGCCCCCTGTCCTGGCCCCGCCCCCCGGGCCGCGCGGGCGCATTGGCTGCGCGGGGCGCGGGTGGCGGGTGGCGCTTTGAACTCGGCGCCGGCGGCGGTGCGGGCCGGGGTCCGGGGCGGGAGTCGGGGTTCTATCGGGGCCGGACGGAGGCCGGGTCCGGGGTGTGGGCAGCAGGAGCTGCAAGTGGGCTGCCGGCGCTCCTGGGCGTCCGCGGTGCGGGCCATGGCGGCGGAGGCGCGCGTGTCGCGCTGGTACTTCGGGGGACTGGCCTCCTGCGGGGCCGCCTGCTGCACGCACCCGTTGGACCTGCTCAAGGTGAGGGCGGCGCGGGCCGGGCGGGGGCGGGTGCGAGGGGCCGGGGTTTGGGGAGGGGGGAGGCGTGGGGGGCCACCCACGCCTGGGCACTGACCTGCCTGGCCCTGCACTGGCCCTGCACTGGCCCTGGAAGGCCTGAGACTTGGGGCCGCCTTGTGGATCACTGACCCCGCCCGGAGACCCTGCCCACTCCGGGGTAGAGGTGCCTGTTGTCGGGGACCACGGGCCACGTTCCAGCCCCGGTTGTGCCCCATACTACCTGTGTGACCTTGGGCTAGTCGCTTGGCCTCTCTGAGCCAATTTCCATCCCGCAGTTTTGAGGACAGGAGTTCTGCCTCGTTTCGAGTTGAGGGGGTGGTTCTGTGGGGTACACACATGTTGGCTCTAGCACACCCAGGGCATAGACCAGGTGGCCTCCCTGCCTGGTGGGTACCCAGCACACAGTGAGAGAATGGGACACGTACCCTGGGCTACGTTCCCTGGGATCCCTGCTTTGGGCTGCTTCCTCCCGGACTGGGTTGGCACCTGGAAGCCGCAGGTCCTGCACCCACACAGGTCCTGCTCTGTGAGGATGAGCAAGAAGCATTCACACTCATTTTACTTTTTTTTTTTTAGGAAAAATGCTTATGGGGCAGTATGAGACAGAACTTCTCTTGTCTCCCAGGGCCAGCCCGGGGGTGGGGGGCGGGGAGGGGGTTGTTTTCTGCCCCTTTCTCACTACAAAGAACAAAGAAGAAAGGGCTGATGGTGCCGGTCGGCCCAGGAGGCCCTGCCCTAGGGAACCTGGGCTGTGGTCACATGGGACCTGTGGGCCAGGGGGGGCAGCTCCCTGGCCACCCCTACCCCCACCCAAAGCAGCCTGACCCTGATACTCACTCCCTGGGAGGGATTGGCACCTGTGGCCCTGTTGACCCAAACCTCAGCCTCCAGCCAGGCCCCCACCCCAGCCCCTCCTCCACCTGAGGTTATGTTTCTTTCAGCAGCTTTTGTCCTAAATGAAGGCGGATTGACTTCTCTAGTAAAAATGCTCACCTCC